TTGGATCCTGGTATATTTGGATGCTGAGTCAAGACATAAAAAGTTTTCCCAGTATAAAAAAGGCGGCAAATGAAAACACTCGCATGTTTTGTAATTTGAACATTAGAAAAGGAAATCAAGTACTTATGTCTTAACCCAAAAAGGACAATATTTCTTATTTTAAAACTACTTGTACATATTTTCTTTTGTACATTTGGTTTCCTCTTTGAAAAAGGTAATCAGAGCCGGGTGTGGTGGAGCACACCTGTAATCTTAGAGTATTTGGGAGGCTGAGGCAGGAAGATTGCAAGTTCAAAGCCAGCCTCAGCAACAGTGAAGCATAAAGTAACTCAGTGAGAACCTGTCTCTAAATAAAATACAAAATAGGGCTGGGGATATGGCTCAGTGGTCAAGTGCCCCTGAGTTTAATCCCCAGCACCTCCCCCCCCCCCACAAATAAAGGTAATCCTATAAAAATATTTCCTTAGGGCACAGCTCTGTAGAAAAATCACTTAAATATAAAATTTCTTGACTGAAATATTCTTTCCTTGATAGTCTTATATTTTCCAAAATGTGAAGCACAATTACAGATATGTATTATAAAAGGTAAACTTTCATTTTAATCATTCAGTAATCTTCTTCCTCTACTTTCCTCTCTCTTGCTGGTTGGTAAAAATCACTCATTACAGCTGTCAGTCATAATGGCCTTAATGATAACTGGCTATATGTTATGGTGGTAGAGTGAGTTTCTGGCACAAAGAAAATGACAAAGGAAATGGACTAACATTTTTGATCAAATATCATGTGTTCAACAGTTCTGGAGGTGATTCACATGACTTATCTTGCCATTTGAATGTATTGTCCACTTTTTACATTTGAAAAAAGTTAGCAAAAAAGATGTTTAAAGTTTGCCAAAAATCATATAACTTATAAAAGCTAGAGTGCAAATATGAACTATGTATCTTTAATGGAGGCTACTGGGGAGAAGAATCCCCACCTCTGAGGGGATACATGTTCTTGATTTCCTTCAAGATTCTTCCTTCTCCTTCCTCTAGAAATATTCCTATACTAAGTGACACCAGATCAATGGGCCATCGTTGAAAAGATATTTCTAATTACAACAGAGGAAAAACATAAGGAGTCCTCTGATGTCATATATCAATTATAATAAAGGTCAGATTTTCTTCTAACTTTATAAACATCTCCAATGTGAGAATTTTGTGCTGCTGTGAACCAAGCACAGGACTTGGACTCAGAACATTCTGGTAGTCATAGATCTTCTCCTAAGTTTGTGCTCTAACCACTTGCACAAAACAGCTGAGTTTATGGAATGAGTTATTATGTGAAAGCATCATTTATAGATGTAAAATACCATATTACATTTTAACATTTTGCTAAAATATTATCTTAAAATATAAATTCATATGCTATGCAGAAACTGCTTAACATAAAAAGTTATTCATTACTCATCTAACAGCTATAATTATGCTTCGTTGTTGTTGTTGTTTTGCTTTGTTTTGTTTTGTTTTGGCAGTGCTAGAGATCAAACCCAGTGCCTCACATGTTCTAGGCAAGTACACTATCACTGGGATACATCTCTGACCCCTAATAAAAAGTTCACTAAATTATTCAAAAGTAACTGAAATATGCCAGTTAACCTAAACACCAAATGACAAATAATCATTGAACTTAAAAACAAAAATAAATAAAAAGCAAGTCGTTTTCAAAAGTAGTTTTATCAATTGCCTTACTGTACAAAGAGTTGGGTATATTATATAATCTACATATACATAAAATATTTTAGTAAATGTTAGTATTAATCTTGTAACTAAAATAAAAGTTAAAGCTTCATCTACAGTTTGTTCTGGTCCTACATCTTCCATTTGCAACCTTGTGCCAGGAAAAGATTACTTAGACTTGAAATAACTGAAACAGAAGCAAACCTTTCAGGAATATTCCTTACTTATATTTTGGCCATTATTTGAAACATAAGTGTTCTGTGAGGTTTGTAATGCCTAGGACTAATCAATGGTTATTAAAGCAAGTATGAAATATGGGATTGGCATTAGATACATAGGAAGAGAAACATACAAAGGATTTAAGAAGAAATTAAAACTGTGCAGATAAACTAGCATTGCTAAAATTGGGCATCTGGTCATAAGAATAATTATAAACAAAGTACATTTTGTGGATAAAGAGTGTGAACTTTGAAAAGTTAAAAAATAAGAACCATATACATATACATATGCCAAACCAGAAATATAAAAAAGGAACACACTTGGTTTAAAGCATAGGCAAAGTACTGATGAATATTAGTTCAAAGAAAATTCAGAGAAGTAATTTTTTAAAGAAAATTGTGCTATTGAAAGAATATTTCTCCCCATTTTGTAACTTAAATGTTTACCTGCGGTGGAATTTATTAAGGTCAAAAGACACTAAGCATTTCAATAAGCTTAAAAGCAAGCACAGCTAATTTGAAAATGGAAGAAAAATTCCCATGGCAAAACTTTGCTTTCTAAATTTGTCCACAGGGTGATTTTCTTTCATCCTTCCCATTAAACACTTAGCCATGAACAAACCCACTCTTAGAGGAAATACTTTAATAAAACAAAAGTAACTTTAAGTTACTTTATTTGCTATGTTAAGTTTTCATGAATCCATTTATTAAAACCTATTGTAAATGTGAACTAAACTTTAAAATGCTATATGTAAAAAAAAAAAAATTATTCTGAACCTGTGTAACAGCCTGGTATGTATTTGGTACTTAAGGAGAAAATATTAATTCTGTATGATTTAGAGTGCTCTAGTCTTTCACTAAATCCTAGAGGGAAAAATTGGTTTGTTTGCTGAAATAGATCTCTATACAATTACGGTCTTACTACTTGATGATCATGGGTAAACTATTTAGCATTTTGAAGGCTCAAATTCTAATGAAAAATAGGAGAATAGTGATATCAGGATTATAGCAAGATAATGATTTATGAAAGAGTCTAGGAGATCCTCATCAAATTAGTGTTTTAAAAATGGAATAATAGAATAATTCTCTACTAAAATGGTTTTATATATTAGAATGATAAACTGGAATGACACCAGGTTATACTTAATATAGTAGGAGTTAATGAACATCTATATTCTGATTGTTTCCTATAGTTCAGGAATTGTTCCAGGTATCTGATTTATATAAAATATCTCTTTTCAGCTTCATAAAAAATCATAACAATGAGATAAACCATTTTTCAAATTAGAAAAATGAAGTTTGGAAAAGTGAATGTTCCCAATATCAAATGATCAGGCACTTAGAATACTTTGCATGGATTATTCCTAAGGTTGCCATTAACTAAGCTTTGGAAATAATCACACTTAAAAAGTGTGGAAACACATAATTCAGGACAGTATGACCATTTCAAATCTGGCAACAGCAGGACAAAAATAAATAAATGAAAATAACAAACAAAATAAAAACTGAAGGAATACATTCTACATAGCTTTCTGGAGGAGATGTTCAGAAAGTGTGTCTGCTTATCAACCCTCCCCTGCCACCGCCAACTTCAAGCCTCTGTGGTTGCTTGTACAATTTCTATAAAAATCTGTGATCTTAAAAAGAAAGTCATCTGTTACATATCAACTCATCTTTTTATATAACTCTAGGAAGCTAGGAAAACAAATTCATTAGTATAAAAGTCTTCAGACTCACATCAACCTGGAAGGCTACATCCTGAACAATATGTCAAAGAAAAAAAAGAAAACAACCATGTGTTATGATTTGGGTCAGAGATTCCCCCAAAGACCAGTGCTAAAGGCTTGGCACTGCTATGGGAGCTACTGGGAGGCCGTGCAACCTTTAGGAGGTGAGGCCTCTTGGAAGCAAATTGGTTATTTTGGGTGTGCCCTTGAAGGTTATATTGGGACCCAAGCTCTCTCCCCTCTCTCTTTGCTTCCAGGCTCCACAAGGTGAGCAGGTTTGTTCCACTATGTGCTCCCTGCCATGATGTTCTGCCTCATCACAGGTCTAAAAGCAATGGAGTCAGTTGATCATGGACTAAAACCTCTGAAACCATAAGCCCAAATAAATCCTTTCTCAAGTTATTTTATGTCCAATAGTTTGTTACATCAATAGAAAACTATCACAGAGGGTCTCCTCTTCTTTATTTGTATTTTCTTCTGGAGGGCATTTTGTATCGAGAAAATAAGACAAGGATTTGAAACACAGGTTTATCTCATTGTTATGAGTTACCTTATGAGGCTGAAAAGAGACATTCTATATAAATTAGATACCTGGAACAATCTCTGGACTATAGGAAACAATCAGAATGTAGATGTTGTTTTAACACCTACTGCATTAAGTATAATCTGGTGTCCTTCCAATCTATCAATCTAGTTTATAAAACCATTTTAGTAGAGAAACTCAACCAATTTGTCTGATTTTGTAGCATATTATAGCTCACATAGATCTTTGACCTACAGTTAAATTCAAATCCAATGTTTGTGAGAATTTTCAATAGCTTTATGAAATAATATCTCATTTGAAAAACAGTTACAACTGTAGTGCTATAACATTGTTATGAGTTCCTTTGAGTCTGACAAAGGATTTTTCATGTAAATCAGACACCTGTTATAATCCCTGGAATATAGGAAGCAATGAGAATATCAGCATTATTTTATCTCTTACCATATTGAGTATAATCTGGTGTCTCTTTGGCCTATCAACTTAGTTTATAAAAACACATTATATTAGGAGTAATTCCATTTTAGATTCCACTTTCTATAGTTCTATTATCTATCATCTATCTATCTTATTCATTCTTTATCATCAACATCTGAAAACAAATTTAGAAGCATGGTTGCTGGATTGCAGCAGTAGACAAATTAATTGAGATACACCAACTTGAAAAAAAATAGAAATAACTAATATGAAACAAATGAAGAATTTCAACAGATTATATAAAAAGAAGGTATGTAACCATGCAACTCCATGGACAGTGACTACACATACAAGCAAATGAAAGCAGCTGACCACGTACCCACACACCTTGGCAGAGGTGCACTCCACACTCGCCGTCCACCACCAAGACAGATAATCTCTGATGTTCCTTCCAGTCGATAACCCAATGAGCATGAGAAGGTCAGAGTGTCACCAACCCCAAAGTTGAACCCAATTCGGTTACCATATTGGGGAATTCCAGGGTCTTCACAAGGCTCAAGGTTATATTCTGTAAGTTAGGGGAAAAGAACCCCTCCGACAGGAGGGAAGGACAACAAAAAAAGTAGTGGTTATATAAGAGTATATTCTTTGCCTTCACTTGAATGGTTTCAGAGCTTAGGCATATATTTAAAAATTAACTATATATACAACAAAGAGAATACGTTAATGGGAAATATCTAACAACAATGAATACCTTTATATGTGAAATTCAACATAGATTAAAAAATGGCATGTGCCAGTGATAAGTTGCAAATGTAGCTGTTTATCTTTTGTTTTTATTTTTTCCTACATTAGAAACTTTTACATTTCATAGATTTTTTTTTACTTACAATAACCACATATTTTCAAACACAAAATAACATTTGGAATGAAGTCATTCATAGTACAAAAATACATTTCACTTAGTGGTTTTAATTTAAATGACAACAGCTCTTGTGCCTCCAGTATACAGAAACTTAATTAACCCATATTTGAAAAACATCTGACTTGAGATGCAAAATTTTATGTAAGACCAAGTGCCCTTACACTGATAAGTATTACATTATAGATCCATACAGGATCTTTTCCCCAAGCAATGAATAAACATCATGAAAATGAACAAATAAATACATGTCAAAAGTATGATAGAATTGATTAACATTGTAACTTATATGCAATCCCAAGAAGCACCTTAACTAAATATATCCTCAGAGCACTTACCCCATGTAATTTCAATAAAGATAAGCAAGAATTATTTCACATTGATTAGCTAATATTTTCTTAGTTTAGAAATGTATTCAGATATATTTTTTTAAATTCTAGGTTAAAACTGATTAGGCTCATTTACTGTTCATTATAGAAGACCTTAATTATTTTAGAAGCAAAAGGGTAATTGCTTAAGAGCAAGATCAGCATTTATATCATTGGGTGTATATGTATATATGTTCATATATAATAACAATTTTAATGTACAGCAAGATCATCATTTGTAATGTCAATGTATATGCATATTTATGAAAAATTTTTGTTGTTGTTATTGTTGTTGTGGTGGTGGTGCTGGGGATTGAACCTAGGGCCTTGTGTATGCTAGGCAAATGCTTTACCACTGAGCCACATCCCAAGCCCAATGTGTGTGCATATATATTACAATATTAATAAGAGCCAATTGACATAAGATTTACTTATTTATTTTTCTCCTTGTTAAGAAATAGCTACTTTGGTGCACTCTTGTAATCCCAGTGGCTTGGGAGGCTGAGTTATAGTATCCCAAGTTTGAGGCCAGCTTCAGCAACTTAATGAAGTGCTAAGAAACTTAGTTAGTAAGACACTGTCTCAAAAAAAATTAAAAGGGCAGGGGTGCTCAGTGGTAAAGCACCTCTGGGTTCAATCCCTAGTACCTTCCTCCTCAAAAAAGGGTAAGAAAAACAAAAACAAAAAATAACTATTTACATCATTATTTCATTCAACTACAAAGTAAAATTCTAAGTGTTGTGAATTTTTTATTCTATTTGGTCTTATAAATTTTAACCCCTGGAATTCAAGTCATTCTTTTGTCTGTAAGTGAGGTTATTTTATAAGAAAGGGTAATGATGTTAATTTGTTTCTAGATCATCCGCTTCCAAAAAAATAAATTAATGAGTTTATATTAATCTTTGTCTGTTACTATACTTTTTCCAAGTAAAAAAACTACAACTCACATTTCAATTTTTAGTGTAATTAAAACTCATTCTAATTTCACTAGAAATTTTATCTGGCTTTTCCATTTGTAAGAATTCCACAGTCGTTTTAAGGGAAGGAAATGTAATTATTGTGCTTTAGTAAATTTTTAATCAATTAATTTGTATTTTTGCTTTTGTTTAAAATTTCTCTTTAATTTATTACTAAAGACAATCGTCAAGGTATTCCAGATTTTCTTTAAAACTTGCTAAAAGATATTTGTCTTCTTTTTCTATTTAAATTTTTTTCTTCAGTTTCCCCTGTTATACTATAAACTATGCTAATACTTTAAAAACAAATTTTTAAAGGTACTAAAGGAATTATTTTTAGTTTTTTGTTTGTTTTTGTTTTCTCACCAGAAAATGTAATGTTGAATCCTTCATACGATATTGAAAAATCTGAAATGAAGCGCAGTTGGGCTCTGAAATTTCCATAGAGACCAGCATTGATTGTTGAAGGAAGTTCTGAACCAGTCAAGCGTGCCAGCGGTTGAGTAAAACTACCATTCTCTGTGATCAGTAAGTAGTCATGATGGTCTTCCAAATGAAAAGTGTGAAAGTTGAATTGCACACCTATTAAATAAAATGGAAAATTAGATTTACAGGGTACATCAGTAAATCACAGAGAGCTACTACCAAAGCAAAACCAGCATGCCCCTTATAATTGATTTTTTTTTTTTTTTTTGGAAATGAAATTCAATGCCATACAACATTCCAAAGGTATTATAACATAATTATGCACTCTTTTGTGTGATGGCTTCTATTCAACATTAGATATGTAAGGTTCATCTATATTATTGAATGTAATTGTGGGTTATTTTAAAAAATAATAAATGATATGTAGTATAACCTTTCATTGTATATCCACATTCATTTATGTGTTTGTGGTCATTAAGGTATTTTGCATTTTATCACATATGTAGAAAGTGCTACTATGAGCATTCAAGTATTTCTTTTGATGAACAAATGTTGGATAAATATCTAGGAGTAGAATTAGAATATGGTCAGCTTTAACAAATACTGTTTTACAAAATGGCCATGCTGATTTACATTTGCATATTTAAATGTAGTTGTTCAGCATCTTTATCAAGATTTGAAACTTTGGGGCATTTTCATTTATTGCACACTGGTGATTATGCAGTAGTCTTACTGTGGTCCTATGGTGTTTTTATGTTAGCTTTTAATGAAATTATCTAGAACACATGTAAAAGACAATTTCAGGTACAATATTTCTTTTTATCAAAAACAAAACAAAACAAAATACTGTACATAAAGTACCATATGTATTTTTCATTTGAGGTAGTTTGTTTATTTATTGTTTAACTTGGCCAAAAATAAATCATCAAAAATCTCAGCATATGGCAACATTCTTTATTTGTTTACATTTTAGCTCTGAACACTGGAAATTCTTTGAGTCTTGTTGTGTTAAAAACACAAAAAAATGACATGACATAAAATGAGACCAAGACAAAGAAATTGAAAACACAAGCAATGACAAAATAAGGTTATAATTGTTTAATGCAACATTATCATATTGTATAATGAAACATCATCATTATGGAATCATTGCTTTCAGATTTGGAAAGAATTTGAAATGAAAGAGATTATTTTCCAAAATATAATAGTTTTGTAAGTTTTTGTCCTTCTTCACAATGAACAGAAACATTACAATCTTTTAGAGTGAGTCCAGAAACTGAGTAAATCTTTCAAATGTTCTTCAGTATAAAAGTGATACTATCCAGGTGACATTAGAATGGAGTGTTGCATGGCAAGGAGATGCTTGGGTATCTATATCAACTGCTATTCACCTTTATAAAAATTTCATGTAAGAATAAAATTTTCAGATAAGTCAGTTTTATTTCTAACATAAAGCTAAGAAACAGTAGTTACTCAATATGAGAATAAATTTTAAATTGACAAAAAAAAATCACTGTGTGAAAAATTTATATTTTTAGGAAAAAAATGTTTGTTCTAACATACACTGAATTAATCTATGGGAAAAGTTTAAATTCTGTTAAATAATGGTGCTGATAATGCTGCTGTAAAGGATTATGTGTTTTGTGCACCCCACTTTCTCCATCTATAAAATGGGGTTCTAATGATGTCTTCTTGCAGTTTAAATAATACAAGAGGAATGACTTGGAATAATGTCTGTTACAGAAGAAAACTGTTAGTTATTGTTTATTGTTTTATCTTCCACAATGAGAGCTAATGTATTTTATGTTACTAAGCCCTGGCTAGCTTCTTTATAAAAGGAATCTGCTATTTTTCAAGTTATGGAATAAGCAGTAAAATCTATTTCCACTATTGCAGAAAAACCTAAGACACTGAAAGTTCTACAAAAGGCCAGTTAATCCAAATCTACAAATGATACCAAGAACCTTTTTCTAGGCATTATAGAATGAAGATTTAAGCAATTCATAACATCTGAGGAAAGACTCAACCCACAATTTCAAGTATTCTGCTAAGTGCTATAAAATTGGTTAATTAAGTCAATATAGGAGCACAGAAATTGAGGTAAGTAGTTTGTGAAAAAAAGTTAGTAGAGGCTTCTAATGTAGTGACTTCAAAAGTGAGAAGTTGTGGAGGAGAATTTCTGAGAGAGGTATTTCAGAAAGAAAGGAGTTAGGCAGAAACTCAGTCCTAACAAGGCAGTTAGAACTCTCATAAGAATAATAATTCTTCATTCTTAGTAGTACATGACTTGAATCCCAGGTACTAGGGACCCTGAGGGGAGAGAATCCCAAATTCCAAGCCAGCCTAGGTAATTTAGCAAGACCCTGTTTCAAATCATTTTTTTTTAAATGGGGAGGGGCAGGGTTAGCTCAAAGATACAGTACTTGCCTAACATTCGGGAGTCCCTGGGTTCAATACTCAGCAATACCCAGTATGGGGAGGGAGGGATAGATGACAGTTCACAATGCTCTGTTAGGGAAATTTAAGTAATTACATTATAGATACATATGAAAAGGCTTGAACTTAAAGTCAAAATAGTGGTGATGGAATCTAGATTTCAGTTAAAGTCATTCCACCAACAATGACCTTGAGAGAGCTTTTTTATTTTTTCCAATTTGTAAACTTATGGGATTGGACTATTTATCAAAAGACAATCCCATGTCTAAGAGTCTAAAGATTTTTTAAAATACTTTTTCCTACTTCAAGGTCTTCATCTCCAGTAGACCAAACACAATTAGCATCTTGATTTCTGTAGTGAACTTAAAAACTATATTTATTGTACAATCGTAAAAAAGAAGCAATGTAGGCTATATGATACTATAGTTTAGGTGAATGTGCAACTGCTGAACAATTTTATATGTCCAAACACCTAGACTTAATGTTAAATAGTAAAGAGATTACTGATAGTGCATTACAAATTCCTTATTTCTCAAATATTTAGATATGTAAATCCATCCTAATTAAGAGTTTTATAAACCCTAATGTACTAATGCTAATGCTTATACAAGAATACTCTGGTTACATAATATAAATATAATAAAATGTAAATCATTTTCACATGATCTCACAATAATATGATAAAATTTAACAAGAGTAAATACAATAACCTGCACTGAATATACAAAAAATCAATTGCATAAAATTATAGAATTTAGGCATTGCACATAACTATTATTTAAAGTTCCAATAATGTGTAAAGATGACTTAGATTACCACATACCCATTGTAAATTAATAGTATAACAAAGAGGCAAAAAAGTTTTCGAGAGTAAATAAATATACACTTCATTCTTAGAAATAATTTGTAGAATAAGTCTGTGTTTAATTGTGGAAAACCAAATTTTTAGAGATCATAATATCATTATGTTGGAATACATTCAGAGAAAGGTGAATCATAAATGTGATGAAAATAAAAGTAATATTTTATGATGAAGACCTCAAAAAATTATAAGTATACAGTCTGGGAAGAAAAGGTTTGGGATAAGGGTCTGGGGATAGAAAGAATGGACATATGCTAGTCCCAGAATAGTGAATTGCTGGGTTCCAGGACCTGTATATTATAGAAGAATGAGCTGATTTTTTTTGTTTCTTTATTTTGTGTGTGTGTGTGTATGTGTGTGTTCTAATTCCAGAGAGTAGACTGGGTTTAATAATCCAAGAATAATTCTCAAACAATTAAATCTATAAAAAATTGAATAGGTTTTTCCCAATAAGTAGGCTTTGCATCAACAGAAGTATCTTTATCAGGATAGTTCATCTTGTTTCTGGAACATTTCAGAAAGAAATTAATGTGCTGGGTGAAAGGTTACACTGTTAGGTAGCTAGCCAGCCAGGAAATGGTAAACAGAGAAAAGAAAATGAATGGCAAATGAAAACCACAGGGAGACTTAACTGACAATAACACCTGAAGGTAGGGGCTTGATATGTTAAAACCTCCCCAGGCATAATTACATCCCATTAAGAAGAATTTGTTTCAAGATTGTGTCAAACCCTCCCTCCCAGGTGGCCTGGACTCTTCCTTATCTCTGAAATTTTGTCTCAACTTTAATCACCTTTGGTAACCAAAACATTAATACCCTCACAAAGAAAGCTTTGCTGAGGGCTATTCAAAGAGCAATAAATTGATTAAGTGGGGGTGGGTAGGAAATTGAGGCAAAATCAGGAATCTCAATTTCCTTGAAACCTCCAACTCTCTGAGTACTAAACCATCCTCTTTTTGAGGCAGTCCCTACAGCTCCTGTGCTGACAGTCATATGTTAAAAGGTGGACCTGGGCAGGACCTTCTGGAAACTTTCCTGAAATTCCCAGTGAAACTGGAGGGAAGAAGGGGTGTACTATTCCTCTCCTAAGATAACCAACTCTGTACCTTAAGTCTTTCCCTTTTACCATAGTCCCGTCTAATAAACTCATGCCTGTTGCTCTGAGCCACAGGTCTGAAGTCTTCCTGGTTTAAATCACAAGAATCTGAATGAAGAGGGGTACCTATGCAGCTGTCCCAGCTTCTCAGCAGGCCTCTGCCCTGCAACAAGACTTTGATTTCTTCCAACTTTAAGAGATTATCCTTCATATAACTTTGGTAGTCTTTGGAATAGTACTTCAAACAAACTTTGTTAGCTCCTAAAAGAAAGGCATCTAAATCTGCATTTCTTGCCTTGTAAATACAGATTTAATTAACACTTGCAACCTGTGAAGATGCAAAACCTTAAGTGTTAATTAAACCTCTATTTACATAGCAAGCAGCATGTAGCCCTCCATTTTCTTGTATAATATCAGGGAGCTTATTTTAAACTCCATTAATCCACTGCACACTGGAATAATAGGATGCTGTGGTTAACTTTCTGCAAAGAGTCTTATATTCTGGAAAACAACAAAAAAATCACAGTTTACAAAGTCTTTTCTTTACTGCTGCTATTCCATAGCAAACCACTCATTTTAATGTTTTTTCCCCTCAATAACATTTAATTCACTGTGGAAATTTAACTATAATAAACCTGATGTAATCTTATGCCCACTTCAGTAAAATGTATAATTTTATCAAAGCCAAATTTAATTTTTGAAAATACAATAAAGTTAAACCATTAAAAACAAGCTTTTAAAAAGTTGTGACAGCATTTTCTCATTGCTAATTTTTTTGACATCATTTTTAGATTTTCTCTAGCAAAATCAATAAAAATGTATAATAATAAAAATTGATAATAACAATACAATGACAGAGCTAAAAAAAAAACTGTTTCTCAAAATCAGATTTTAAAATAAACTAACTCTTTTTAGAAGACTGGTCCATGGAGATGTCAAGATACATAATGTTAAACCAGTTTTGTTTTAGCATAGGAAAATGATTATTTTTTCCCACTGTTTTTGCCCTCATCGATTACATTGCTAATTTACTAGTTCATGCTGTACTGTGTGAATGAACCATATTTAGTCCTAGGGGGCTTTTCATTTATTTGTTTATTTGTTAAAAGGCATTTATTAACATCTACCATATGTGCAGTGCAATTTACAGTCCACTTTAATGATGTGAAACATATCTGCAGCTCTACTAGAAAAATTAAGACTCATTGTTTACACAATGGTTTCAAATGTATATGGGAAATATTATCGTAATAAATAAGCAAATATTTTAAAAACAAGTATATAAACATATACTATTTGGTTCACAATTGGCTTAGCATTTCAGAACATTTTCATATTCCCCTTTGTGAAAGGGTAAAGTTTCTAAGCTGCAAAGCCTGAGTTAAAATGTAAAGGACCAGGCATTGTAAACCTGCTTCTAAACTGCAAAGCATGGGTTAAATTCCTGAGGCAGTTAAGACAATGTCCTACTGGCCATTTAGTTGATTTATAGCCTAAGATCCTGTGCAGCTTGTCACGTAGACATTCAGGGCCCGAACCAATCAGTTTAAATGTAACCCCCTCCTTAGGAATGACCTATCACTCCAGCCAGCCCTGTTCCCGCCAATGTATGTACTAATCAAGTCTAAGAATTGTTGTTTGACTTTCCCGTGGTGTATGCTGATTTGTTAAAGGAGACTGTGATGTATGTAAAGTCCCTGCCCTCCCCAAAAAAGTGTACTTAAGCATTGTTCAACCCCTGCTCTGGGCTCTGGGCTGTTCTCCCTTCTCGAGTGGGCACAGAGCTCCAGAATGCTGGAATCTCAATAAACCCCCTCCTGCTTATTGCATAAAGTCAGTCTCTTGGTGGTCTCTTCCTCCGACGCTTCACTGGACCCTTACATTTGAACTTCTGAAATCAAATTCTAAACACTATTCCAGAAACAAAACCATTATGTTTGAGGTTTTATTGATATGACAATTTCAAGTAACATTAGTTTAATATATCAAAGCAAAATAAATAACTTTATCATCATTTTGGTAAAAATATAAGCACATTATGTTATAGAAGAGTAAATATAATCCTTTGCTGCAGTTACTCAAATTTTATTTTAGCATATTTTAGTATTGATCTGGTTTTGGTCATGCAAATGACTTTGTTAAGGAAAATGAAATTAAAATAGACCCATTGAAAATTCAGAAAACAACCCAATTATTATTGCATGAGGCAAATTACCTTTTCCATGGGTTACATCAACAGTCCATGTGCAATTCAGAGAATTTGGATAAAATTCTGGGTAACCAGGTGATAAGATTGTTCCACTTGGCCCTCTAACATCTCCTCCACACAATGCTGAAAATACAAAGAAATACAGTATTATCAGTCCTAATTAGAGAGGCATAAGTTAAACAAATCTCAATTCCTCTCTTGAAACAGGATGAGTTCCATTATCTTTGCTTAATCTACTTCCTGGTGATAAGAAGAGTATGGAAATACCTATTCCAATACTAGAAAATCATTTCATCCATTATAGCACTAGAGAAGAAAAATTGTGTTTAATAGTGTCTCAGAACTAGTACTGGCCCCAAGAGAACATATGTCAAGATTCCACATTTGAGTTTGAAGTACATACTTATACTTTTCTAATTATGAGTAACATTTGCATGTATTGCGGTAAATTAAACATGAGTAATTAATTGTTCAGCAGCACCTCTTTTTAAACACTAAGAAAATGAATTGTTAATTACATAAAATTGTTTCTTATAGATTCCTAAAGGGATATGTGTCATTCTTCATAGGATTCCTTTCAAAACACTGAAGTTGTGCAAGTTCTGAAGCCTGCTTTTGTACCTCTGTATTTCTCTGAGAAATATATGAACATAAAGGGATTTTTTTTGTGAGTAAATATTTGAAAGTAATTATCCCAAGAAATTTTAAAAATGAATGTTTATGAACTGATATCAAACAAATGAAAATTTGATTCAATATTCATTTGAGAACAAATCACAGCTTATAATGTCTTATACTGCATCCAACAGTCATCAGAGTTTATGTTATGCTCATTTTATCAATGTTCAAAATTAGAAGAGACAAAGATACAGCCTAGTAAGAATTTATTATCTAGTGGGAGCAGAATAGTGTCAACTTTATATTCTGTTCTAATTAGAAAGGCAATTCTCTTAGGCACAGACAAGAGGAGTAAGAACTGTGAATTCAACATGTGACCCTTCTACTTTGAAATTTTCCCAACTTCCCCAGGATACCAGAATGAATTTTGGCCTTGTTTTCTTTCATGACTTTTTCATGATTTTTTCCAGCTATCAATGCTGAGTATGTGACAACTCAGGCAATCTGGTATATATCTGGTATATATCTAGATTTACCTGACTAGAAATGCTAAGTCTGCAGTTTCTAGAAGTATTTATGCATTCAGGATTGGACTTTATGTATTTATACAAAATTTGAAATGGCTCCTTCCCTTGTTTATTCTTTTACTCTATTGAGGTCTTACTGAGTATCTCTTACAGGCTGTTTTACTAAGACCAAGATATGCGCATGCCTACTATATACTTGTTATCCAACCATTATAAAAGTTGCATGATTTGATAAAATAGGCCCCTATTTAGAGCCAGCACAGTCCTCCATTAATTAATTCTATTGGATTTCTAAATTTCCTTTCAAGTTTTTAGAAAGCATACTATACTTTTATGATCTATGTAAGAGCTAGATGTTCCATGTCTTGTTGATAATGCTAGTGTTACATTGAATTATTATTTTCCTTGTAATTCATTTTATTTTTTTTGATAGAATATTACTTATTTCTATTATATTATATTACATATGTCCACTTATTTCAAATATGCTATATTTTACTTCTTCCATCCTAAGAACCACAACCCCCATGCAACAACAACAAAAAAATCAACAATATAACATGATATGACTTTGTTGAGTAAAACTGTGATAAGTAAAAATGCTTTACTGGATTAAAATCTAAAACCTCTTGGGGCTGGGGATGTGGCTCAAGTGGTAGCACGCTCGTCTGGCATGCGTGCGGCCCGGGTTCGATCCTCAGCACCACATACCAACAAAGATGTTGTGTCTGCCAATAACTAAAAAATAAATAAATAAAACCTCTATCTGTAAGGGTTATCTCATACAACTATATTAAAACTTCTCAGTGAACAGGAGAAAAATTAAGAATTCAATTAGGATTAAAAAACACAAAGTAACACAAAAGAGAAATGAAAACCTTTAAAAGTATGTTACATATGTGCTCCTGTAGGTGTGTGTGTGTGTAATTCTGACTAATTCTTAAGGGACTTAAAGGAAAGCTCTTCTGTACTTCTGTATTGTTTTAAATTGTTATTTCATCAAAAATCTTATTCTCTGTAGTTGGAGGGATTCTTGGGAATTTTCTTTCTGCAAGCTGCACCTATAAACCTCCATATAAAGTGGGAAGTCAAAGAAACATAAACAGTTTATGTCATAAACATGTAGGCACTTTAAAAATTTAGGGGGAAGAATCAACAACTAACATATTAGTAACATTTAAACTGTTACTTTGATTTTAATCCAATGGTAAAATATAGAATGTCTTATTTATGACACAGTTGAGGTTTCTGTTATTTAAAAATAAGTAGTACCGGGCTATGGATGTGGCTCAAGCTGTAGCACGCTCACCTGGCATGCATGGGGTGCTGGGTTCGATCCTCAGCACCACATGAAAATAAAATAAAGATGTTATGTCCACCAAAAACTAAAAAATAAATATTAAAAAATTCTCTCTCTCTCTCTCTCTTTCTCTTTCTCCTAAAAAAACATAAGTAGTACTGCATGCAGATCTTGAAGACAAAGAATTTCATAGAAAGTAGTAGAGAAAGAGCAAGGTTTAAGTCTCTTTGAGAGATGAAACTAAAAATATGAAAATATATAAGCTTTATTTATATCTAATAAACAGGATAAAATTTATATATAATAACATTTAGGATAACAAGCTGACTAATTCTTAGCAGAAACAACAACAAACACTTATACTGAACTTATGTTGCAGACTTTATTTATATTAATTCAATTAACCTTTACAACAACTGCCGGGTTTCTGTTCTCCAGACTAAAAGGCTCAGGGGTCACTCCAGCTAAACTGGGCTAACTGGGCTGCACAAAATAACCACACAAGAGACACAAATACCTTTTTCATTGGGGTCACAGTGACGGCTCCTCTGATCTTAAGGGTCCACAGGAAGAGAGAGAGCAAGAGCAAGTGCTGACCCCTTTTATTGAGAAGCTATTCAAATAAGGCAAGGGGTCAGGTTTCAGGGGGCTGAGTCTATCTTCATGATGTCCACTGTCAGCAGGTTGACTGACATCTGGGTAGGCCACATCCAAGGGCACAGTAAGAGAAGGGGACACACACAAGGCACTTCCATGGAAGATTCTACCCTAAACAGGGCAAGGGGTTATATTACATAGGAACAGGTGAGCATAGCTCCATCCATGGGGCTGTAGGAAAACACAGCCCTGGAAGGAAGACACAGTCACTGGAACCCTGGAAGAGCAGGGCAGCCTAGCAGCATGGGTGCCTGACACCACATCGCCCAGCAGGGAAGTTAACTCAGTCACAGGCGAGGTTTGTCTCCCACAAGCAACCCTATATGAAATGTACTATAATTTTTTAGAGCTTACTGATGAAAAGGCTAGCACACAAAGAATGCAAGCAGTCTTCTTCCATTTTGCATGATTGTAAGCACTTCTGAATCAGTGTTGATTTTTTCCCCACATTTTGAGTTATGTTTTTGAATAAAAATATATAAAATAAAAACTTATAATGTCTTTCATTCATTTGATATTATAGCATATCTCCTCTTAAGCGATCTATATTCAAAAGTATCATTAGCTTTCTCATAGATTTATTTATTCCTTTTATCTTCAAATCACTCTTGTTTTAAGTATATATATACTGACCTAATATGTCTGTATTCTTGTCTGCATTCTTTAATTAATCTGTCTCTTCTAAATTCTTATTTGTCAATCACTTTGTGGGTGATTGAAACAGTTTTCCATAATCATTATCAGACTCATCTTTTTAATCAACCCTCAAAAATGAAAAATTCTTCATCTTTCTAAATGATATCATTTCACATTGCAAATGTTTGGAATTGCATTTGCTTTATAAGATTTTCATTTTGATCAATTACAAGAGATTAACATGTAAAGTGATAAAATGCACTATGATAAAATCTAATATTATTAAGCCTGTTTGAGTTAGATTTATTTTATTTTATAAGTGGTTAATTCATGACTGAATGTTCTTTCTTACAGGTAATGTTTGCTTCTCTAAAAGCTGCCACTCCTATCCTAAAAATAAAAAGTGTAAGAGGAAATTGATAGTTTATTAGAGACATAAAATATTAAGTAAGGAATATATGCTTTTATTTTCAGATAGAGAAACTCAAATATATTATTAAATAATAGTGGTGCTGAGAATTTATGCAACTATTTGCATATCAAGCATCTAACCTCAACTCATGACTACCTCATGTCCCCTATAAATAGCTTAAAAAATAGTTGATTTTAGATTAAGTTGGTTAAAAATCATTAGGCAATTATTTTGTAAAACGCTCAAAAATGTAAAAAATGAGTACAATTCACCCTTGTTCAGTTATACCCAGAGAGAAATGGGAACATAAAAGAGAAGGACAGATCAAGATGGAAGTTCAAAATAACATGACATGGTCTTTCAGAAAAAGATGCACTGTAAGAATTCAGGACAGAAACAGAATTGGAAAGAATCCACATGGTTAAGTATCCTAAATTATGATAAAGTAATTTAAGATTACTTTAAGATTAGTAATATTACTTACTGTAATCACTAATTAGTTATGAATGACTAATTAAAGACTAGTAAGGTGAACTTTTGTTTCCAAACCAAATAAAGCCATTAAGTATTTTTGATATGAAGTATGACATGAAGTGTAACATGAAGCAATCTTATTGTAAAAGATATAAGTTAGATTGAAAAGGTTAAAAATTGAAGCCTGGCACTGTGGTGTATGCCTGTAATCCCAGTGGTTTGGGAGGCTAATGCAGGAGGATCACGAGTTCAAAGCAAGCCTTAGCAACTTAGCAAGGCCCTAAGCAACTCAGTGAGACCTTGTCTCTAAATAAAATATTAAAAGTCCTGGGGATGTGTCTCAGTGGTTAAGTGCCCCTGTGTTCAATCCCATGGTACCAAAATAAAAGAAAAAAAAAGAGGTCAGATACTAAATTGAAAGTTGATTGCAGTTACACTGGCAAGAGACAATGAGGATCGATGTTGTTTCTGTGAAACCCAAATATATCTGCTTTTATTATCTATAAAATTTAAGTGTGCCAGTATAGTTGAACATGATTTTTTAATCATCTAATTTCTTTTGATATTATTACCTCCATAATTTTCTCTCTTGGTAAATATTACTTTCTCATGCCAATCATGTAGTTTTATCAGGGAATGGCAAGCATATTACCATTATGCCACTTTTTTTGTCTCAGCCACAGGGATGGATGAGCACATGACCTGGACAAATGCAATGAAACTGGATCTTTCCCCATTACTACAGTAACTAGATCAGGTATAGACCAATCAAATACGTTTTCTGAGATTTTCTAGTTTTAATAATAAAGAATTATTAATCTTTTCTAATTCAGCATGTATAAGTCTATGAACTATCATATTCTCTCCATACAGGAAAAAAAAAGCTTGTTTGCAATTAAAGAGAAAGATATGAATGATATGAAAAAGCCTAGGTAGAAGATGGAGAGATTCTTGGAAAAGTTTGAATCCATGCTTATAATGAGTAATGTGAAGTATGCTAATCTGCCTTTTCTAAATTTTGAATAGTTGGATAACAGTTTTTGCTTGTATTTTCAAAAATCAGAATTGAGTTTCTATCACAATCACAATAATGCTGACTAATACAAATGGTATTGTATAAATATAGGGGAGGTGTGCTGATTATTATTTCAAACCCTGTTGTAAAAACAAATTGGCATAGGGCTATTCCTAAAAATGTGATGGCACTGAATGTACCATAAATATTTAATTATGAGATGATAAGTGTGACTTTACAACTTGAAAAAGAAGAGGCATAAAAATTAGAAAGCATGCTGTAAATAGAAATTATAGCTCTGATTAATACACAAACTTATATTGGGAGTACTTTTGGCAAAGCAACTATGCAAGCACTTCCCAATAATATTAATTTATATATATATATATATATATATATATATATATATATATATACATATATGTATATTATGTGTATAATACTATAGAACACCTATAGTTCTAAATATTATATATATACATATATACACATACATATATATAATATTTCATCATGGGGTAAGTTTGGCTGATTATATTTTTCACATTTTATTAATAGGTTTGATAACAAAACTTCAAAAAAATTCAAGATAATCTTTTAAAAATGTGAAAGATTTATAGTTTGTTAAGCCTCATTTTTTTTTTTGAGAATTTTGATATTTACTTTCTATTTAGTTTTCGGCGGACACAACACCTGTTTGTATGTGGTGCTGAGAATCGAACCCGGGCCGCACACGTGCCAGGCAAGCGCGCTACCGCTTGAGCCACATCCCCAGCCCAAGCCTCATATTTTTAAGGATTATACTGATTTATTTTGGTTTATAAATAGGCACATTTTGCATATCAAATTAGTTCTTACCATCACAGGTTGGGAGTGGATGACTCCACCAGTGGTTTTTTTCACATAGCAGGGGCTCTTCATGACTCAACCTGTATCCTGGATCACAACTAAATGAAACAGTAGATCCAATGGAGAAATCATGACCATAACGAAGGCCATGTACAGGTATGCCAGGGTCCAAACAAGAATATGTATTTACTGTAACACCTGAGAAACAAAGGGAATAAAACAGAGAGTAAGTTTCATGAAATTTAGATTTACTGAAAATCATTCCTATTTTTTCAAGGAACTGTAAGTAATAATTTGTCACAAATTAATATATTCATAGCTTCATTTAAAAAATGAACAATTTTATTAACAAGTTTTATTTTTTGTCTTGTTTTATTTTGCTAATTCCTATTAGTAAGGATCAAATTTAGGTCATTAATATGTTAAGAACTTGAAGAGGCATAATTATCCAAAAAAATTTGTATTATTTTAAATTTGTCTATGTGTGTGTATGCAAAATGATAATTTTAGTGGTAATTATAGTCTCTTGAGCTTATTATAGTACACCTATAGTTCTAAATATTGTGCAAATTTTTTTTCAGATTAGAGGCATTTTGAGATATATGAAATTATGAACAACAGTGCCGTGTGTGTGTGTATGTGGTCCTGGAGGATTGGACCCAGAAGCACTTTACCAGTGAGCTACATTCCTGCCCATTTCTATTTTTTTTTAATTTTTATTTTGAGAGATTCTCTCTAAATTTTGGAGACTGGACTTAAATTCATGATTCTCCAGTCTCAGCCTCCTGAGGATCTGGGGTTATAGTTGGCATCAGCCATCACATCTGTGCCAGTGACTTGCTAAGTAAAACAAAACAGTTCAACTGCTTTGGTGGGTACTTGTAGATGTGTTTACAACAGTCTGTAGTATTTTATTATGGAATCCCTGATGATCATTTTCCTCTTGATTTACAATGCCAATCTGAGATCATACCATGCTTTTCCCATAATAAGGCATGTTTTCTCAAAACTTGGCATTATTGACTTTCTGGACCAGACAATTCTTTATTATGGGTTGTCCTGTGCATGGTAATGTCTTTAGAAATATGCCTATCCTCTAACTGTTAGAAGCCAGTAACACTTCTTCAATCATGATAACCAAAAATTTCTCTATCACATATTTCCTGGGATGCAAAAATGCCCCCAGCTGAGGACCACTGATAAAATATATAATAGAAATTATCTTATTCTTCTTAAATGGGAGATTTAAACAATGAATAACTATTGTTTCTATGTTCCAAAAATACATAATTAGTGTTTTCAAATTGTGTAATTATATTGACTAATCTTCACATGAGAAACATTTATTTGTATTAGTTACCCAATTTTAAGATGGAGCTAAACAAACTACAACAAAATATAAGTTTAATTTTAGAGGGGTGAATTTATCAAGCATATTCATTTCATTTAAATGTTATTATTTTAATGAGACACTAAAACCTAACAGAGACAATTTTATCTTCAACACAAGTACTTTTATCTGCTAGATTCCTCTTTTCACTATGATCATTATTCTTCTAGGCCCCCAAGGCTTTTAAACCCTCATTGTCTATGATTCTTTCTCACTTTTCTTTCCTCCACAGAGTAATGTCTCTCACTGAAAAATCATAATGTCATTTTTTTTTACTTCCCTACATTATTCAAGACCTTCAAATCTTCAAGTGTATAAAATAAATAATAACGTTTGGCCTTCTTTTCAGTAGTCTTTCAAATTAAGTCTATTTTACATAAAATAATGGACACACATATTCTTAAAACATGTCTTTTTTTTTTTGCTTATACCCTACTGTAACAGTGGTCCCCACTTTCTGAAAATAGCCCTCATTGCTCTAAGGCTTATTATTTTTTTTTAATGCCCCCACCCCCTCTGGCTTATCCCTCCCTAACAAGATTAGGGAGACAGTGTTATCTTTTCTTCCCCTAGTTAGTTGCCATTGAACACACCCACTACTGGAAGGAGATGCCTACTGAGCATTGGGAAGTGAATATCTCCCAAATTAACAAGTGAATCTTAACATGCCATGAGGGCGCCCTGGGACCCCCTTACCAGCACACCAGGAATGTAACCCTTGAAGAGTTCCTTTAAAACTCTCCAGTCCTTCCTGATGAGGAAAGTCACAGACTTTGGGACAGGAGTCCCCTGTGTTTCTCCTTTGCTAGCAAAGTAATAAAACTTCAGTTTCCTTTTTCTCAAAACTGGCATTAGTTGGCATTGGGGACAAGGACTGAGCTTTTGGTTACACTACTGCAAATGAGACCAAATTTTACAATATCGTCTTTAAATTCAAAGAGTCCCAGATTGGACTCTAATATTCTTAATTTCTGTTATTTTCCAATGGTTATTCTCTCTCTCTCTCTCTCTCTCTCTCTCTCTCTCTGGTACCAGGGATTGAACTCAAAGGTACTCAATCACTGAACCACACTCCCAGCACTATTTGGTATTTTATTTAGAGACAGGGTCTCACTGAGTTGCTTAGTACCTCACCATTGCAGAGGCTTCCTTTGAACTCTTGATCCTCCTGCCTCAGCTTCCCGAGCAAATGGGATTACAGGTGCTAACCACTGTGCCCAGCTACAAATGGTTATTCTCCATAAATCAAATAAGTCTGATTAGTTTTATGTTTACTTTCTCTTCCAGGAATACTTTCACTTGTCCTCTTAAAGTGCACAATCTTCTCAGTCTTTTGCTATTGTTGTTGTAACTTGGGCTTAAACCCAGGGGTGCTCTACTATGAGCTACATCTCCATCACTTTTCTCAATTTTATTTTAAGACAGGTTCTCACTTAGTTGCGCAAAGTGGCCTGGAACTTGTGAGAATCCTGCTTCAGCATCCGCCCCCACCCCTCACACCAAGTAGTTGGGATTATAGGCCTACGCCACCAATCCTGGCTTTCTCTTAGTCTTTATCACAGTTGCTTAGATTCCCTTTCTTTCTGGGACCTTCCTCTAATGGGACTGATCACATACAACTTTCCTTCATCTTAAAACTCCGTCAGTGAAATCTTATGAAATCATGAAAATGCAGGTAAAAGAGGTGATATGTAATGTAAATTATAGTTAAACTACAGTAAAATTTTATTATTCAAAAGTGATTTTAATGGTTTCATGTTATCTGAGTAAAGGCCAGTGGGCAGTACATGCTTAATTATCCTCTTTCATTAACCAACTGAAGAATAAAGAGAAATTATGCATTTCTTTATATGCTTCTTACTGTGATATGTGAATCTAGAAGTCATGGAATAAGTATAAGGAAACATTTTATAGTTGATTCACAAGCAAACAATTCAAGGCACAATTCATAGCAATGGAAATGTAGAATTGAGAAAACAAGAAAGATCATGATGAACACGTCAGTATAATTTACTAATAGTCATTACTTAAAATTACAACATAATTGATAGTTTGGAAAGATTCTTATATTTTGACAGTATACATAATTTTTAGAAGTTTATGTTGGAATTACAGTAAAAGATATTAACATTTTCTCATTTTTCTTATTATTGTATAGAACTTTACTCTAAAAAGTCAAAACAGACTTTCTGCCTATTTTTCCTATGTAATAAAAATATTGAATATTTTAAGTTGTGCTTTCTTTTTCCCCTTCCCCATATTTATTGTTCATAATCAATTGTTATTTAAATTGTACATTATTTACAACTATACCACCTCCTTTTTAATTTGTTCTTTTTGGTTATACATGTCAGTAGAATATATTTGGGCATACCATGTGTACATGGAGTATAACTTCCCATTCTTGTGGTAAGTGTACCATTTTACATATGTGAAAAAATATATATATCTACACATGAACGTAAAATATGCCTTTAAAGATGGATGTCTGAGTCTATGGGTTTGTTCTACATCCATTTATAATTTATATGCATTTTATAATATTTAGATATTGAAGGACAGTTTATGTAATTGCCCCTTAGCATCCATGGGGAATTGGTTTCAGGACTACTGCTGAATTAGTATTTGTATTTCAAGCAATACAACATAATACACAGAAGTGCTTTTTCTTCAGAGAGAAAAATGACTAAAACAAAAAGGGGATTATGCTCTTACAGTCTAGGGTATGCAATTGTTGTTATTTTAATATGTATCAAATACCATAAACAATCATATCTTTTTGGTACAGTTTTCTCAATCTCCTTGTTTTGAAAGAAATATAGAATGGGATTGAAAGGGCTTTGGGAAAGAACATACGGTGGAGACCTGGAGTGCAAGCAGTGGTGGCTTTTGCAAGAAATCCCTTTCACAGGGTTTTGGTCCATTTATAGAAATCAAATTCTACTTAATACATTTAATTTTTAAAATCAAAAATTCACTAACTAAATGCCATATATTTTTAAATTTTTGATTAATAATCAACTAATTTTGAGCTTTGTGAATGGTTCATTCGAAACAAAAGCCCAGTTACTTCATCTAGAGAAAAAAAAATGGTGTCAGAGAAAAAGGTTTATGTCTCCTTGATAACAAAGTATTTATAATTCTGGAAACTATTTCATAATATAAAATAAACCTCAAGACTAAAATAAGTAAAATGAGAGAATGTGATTTCTTATAAGCAAATTTAAATAGCAAGTTACCACCTCCCACCAGATTCAACAAATCAATATAAAATGTCTCTCATTAGCTTCAACCTCCCTTAGCTCTCAGCCTCCACTTTGCCTTCTAAACCAATATACCTCAGTAATAAAAGGACTATATTACCAAGAACCTGCAAGTGGTTCAAACTTATTGACAAAAGGAATGAATTTCAGCTCGACTTCTGATTTTTAATTTCTTGTTTAATTTTTATAGGAAAAACATAAAAGAATCATTTACTTAGAACTTACTGCATGTTAGCGATCCTGCTCAAAAATTCACATGTATGGTTTCATTTACTCCTTAAAATAGATCTGTGCCTGATACTACAGTGATGCATCCACATCAATGTTTAGAGAGCTCAATTCAAAATAGCCAAGATATGGAACCAACCTAGGTACTCTTCAACAGATGAATGGATAAAGAAAATGTGGTATATACACACAATGGAATATTATTCAGCCATAACAAAGAATGCAATTATGGAAATTGCTACTAAATGGATGGAACAGGAGGCTATCATGCTAAGTGAAATAAGCCCATTCCCAAAAAACCAAGGCTGAATGTTTTCTCTGATATGTGGATGCTAATACATAATAAAGGAGAGATGGAAAAGAGGAGTTCATTGGATTAAATAAAGGGAATGAAGGGAGGAATTGGAATAGGAAAGACAGCAAAATGAATTGGACATACCCTCCTATGTTCATATAAGAATATGTGACCAGTGAAACTCCATACTACATACAACCGCAGGAATGGGATCCTAACTAGAATAAATTATACTCCACATATGTGTAATATGTCAAAATACATTCTACTGTCATGTATATCTTAAAAGAACAAATAAAACAAAAAAGAAAGAAAGAAAATAGGCCTGTGCCTGACACACAACAGAGACCACATACCTTGGGTGAGGTGGGATTATATTTAATTTGGTGGGCATAGGATACAGCAGTGAACTAAATGAAAATATGGGTATATACTGATATTCATTAATTGCTAGCAAAAATTAATTTTGAAATAAACTTTAAAAATTGACTATGTCAGGTTCTCGGGACGGGGGCTGGCGAGGCTCATGCTGGAGGGCTTCTCGTCTGCGGCGGGCTCAGTGAGGGTACCGGTGACCATGAGATCCCTGCAGCTACTCAGAGGCCCCTTCCTGTATGGCCTGCTCTGGGCTTTTTGTGCTCCAGGTGCCAGGGCTGAGGAGCCCGGGGCCAATGTTCCCCATCCCAGCAGCGTGGGCCTCGATAAGAACACGGTGCACGACCAAGAGCATATCATGGAGCATCTGGAAGGTGTCATCAACAAACCAGAGGCGGAGATGTCCCCACAAGAACTGCAGCTCCATTATTTCAAAATGCACGATTATGATGGAAATAATTTACTTGATGGCTTAGAGCTCTCTACAGCCATCACTCATGTCCATAAGGAGGAAGAGAGTGAACAGGCCCCACTAATGAGTGAAGAAGAACTGATTAACATAATAGATGGTGTCTTGAGAGATGATGACAAGAACAATGATGGATACATTGACTATGCTGAATTTGCAAAATCACTGCAATAAACATTATTTGGCTATCTCCTAGTTATATGCAAATGTGACCCGTGATAATGTGATTGAATTCTTTTGGGTAATGCAAAATAACTCATTTTTAACTACTGCTGCAGCATTTTGGTAAAAACCTGTAGCAATTTGTTACACTGGGGTGAAAAAGAGAAATCAAGAGAAATAAAGGAGAAGAGAAATGGGCATTTTGTGGTCCCTCAGTGCTGTTAAATCTCTCAATGGACAAGGGCTTGATGAACGAATCCTCTTAAGTATATGGAATAATTGGAGCTGAGCACTCAGGAACTTAACTGTAGGATATTGCTCATTCTTGATCTTAATTCATGCTACCTGAAAAGTAAGACAATAAGCTTTGCCAAGTGGACACACTTTTCAGTGACAGTGAAGGGATGGAGTGAATGCCACATGTTTCCCCTGGTGGGTTCCATCTCTTCGGATAAACGAGGTCAGTATTCTCTAAAGTTCCCCTGGCCTACAGGATCACTTGCTCTGGGTAAGCGGCTATTTGTTAGGCTGTATCAAAGCCACAACATAAGAAGAATGTCAGATATTGAGTTCAGCTGGCTACAGAGGCAAGGATTCTGTATCCTCTCACATTTTGGAAATGATAGACCACTGGCCTAAGCAATTAACCTTTTCAGATTTTCAATATTTTATACAACTACTGCCACACCTTTATACTTTCCTTTCTGTCGTCTTCAACTTGGGAGGAACCTTAATTTAAAGGTGCTCTCTAATCAATAGCAAATATTTTAGCTTTCTTAATATTTGTATTTCACTCTTGTTTCCAGGGTTTCCTTTTTGCAATTTTGGGACTATTTGGAATGTAAGGACTTGGTACAGCAGGTTTAAACCATTGGCTGGCCTTAAGCCTAGGTGGGAAGTGAAAAGATCATTCATCAAACCCAGTGATTAACCTGATCCAAGTTCTGTTTCAAAGGAATGTTGTTTAAATTACCTCTTCTAGCCTGAATGGATGAATTCTTAAATTTCAGGAAAGATTAGAAAAGGAAGCTGAAAAATTCCTCAACAGTGTGAGAAATCTCAGTATTTGAAAGTGAGAAGAAGCTACAGACTGTAATTTGGTTTGTTGGATGTGGTAGACATGCTGTGATAGAAAACCCAAAATGATGGTTGAATGGGGGAAAGAAAATGCATAAAATTTGCTGTAAGATGTATAGAGACTTATTTTCTTTATTAAAGTATTCTTGTAAGAAAACTTATGTATTTGTAAAAATGATTTCCTGTGTCAAGTATTTGTGCAATCAGAGCTGACTTGTAAACTATTCTTGTAATATCTCATTATTTTGAAAGATTTATATAATGAATTCTGAATATATGGCCAATAAAACCGATGGGACAAAAAAAATTGACTATGTCAGTGTTAATAAGTAAATGTTAAACATTTTAATTCAAGATCTTGATATACAGATGTCTTATAGTAACTCTCTCAAATGTGCTCATGTATCCATTTATCAAAATACTTTCATGCAAAGGAATATGGTAATGCATTTCATGATAAAAATGTGTGCATATGTGAGTTTAGGGGTGTGTGTGTATAATATATATATATATATATATATATATATATATATATATATATATACACACAATACAGCCACAAAGGTATAAATTTTCAAGATGTTTATAAATAAAAGCAGAAATTTTTTTCCTATGTAAATTCCTGAGTTATAAAAACCTTTATAAAAGGTGCTGGGGTTGTGGCTCAGTGATAGAGCATTTATTTGCCTCACAAGTGTGAGGCACTGGGTTCAATCCTCAGCACCACATAAAAATAAATAAATAAAATAAAGGTATTGTGTCCACTAAAACTATTTTTTTAAAAAAAACCTTTAAATAAGACATAGTTTAGACTTTTTAAGCAGAAGTATGAGCTTTTAATTGAGATTATCATGAATTGATTCCAAGACTCTGAATTACAGCTTGTTTTAATATAGTGTTTGACGAGTTATGTTAATTATATTCCTATTCATATATATTTTACTTTTCAGTCTTTTATCCAAATGAAATTTTATATTTTAAATGGAAAATGTGTGAATCATATGAGAAAATTTTTTGAAAATTGAGTTTGTGAAGTAAATGTTAAAAGACACTTATTGCCTATTGTCTGCTTTTTAAAATCAAACATAAATAATTAGTACATGAATTCATTTTAAAATAATTGTTTGATACTTCTACCATTTCCTTAGTATTTACTTTGGTAGTAACATTAGATAGATATTATTGGAAAATCCATTGCAGAATTTACTAAAGCATATATCTTATAAAGCAATAGCATTCTCATAGCTCAAGAAAATCTTTGAGTTTAAAAAATAATTAGAGCTACCAGTTCTATTAATAACACAATGATAATACAAAATACAAGGCAAGCAGAATAGAGAAATCAAAAAATATTTTGTAATTACTCACTTTCATAATGAATCTTAAAACCATTATTAGAACGACTGTTGTCTGTTGTAAAGAGTAGGTATATGAAATTACTGCTACTGAATAGGAACTGGGGCACCTGTGTGCCATTGTAAGATCCAAGCAAGGGTGAGAGAAGATTTGGTCCATCATGAACTTCCAGAACATCATAATTCAGTTCAGTCTGAAATCTAAGGTTAAGAAACATATGGAAATATATTAGAATATATGTAGGAAAATAATGCTTTAAATTGTTATTTAAATTTCTACTTGAGATTTTTAGCATATTTATAATTTTCATTAGGTTCTCTAATATTTAAGTTCATACTTGTCCTTTTAAATTACCAAAGTTATAAACTCATTCCTATAGAAAATGATCATTAAAATCATATATGTACATGCTTGTTCATAAGTAAACATTTTCAAATGTTAAGGATTATCACCAATAAATAAACAGACTGTTCATCAACTAAGTATATTTCTTGAATCACTTCTAGTTGCTGTAATAATTTATATGGAAAAATGTGATTCATATTATTTTTGAATCAGTAAATCAGATTTTCATCTTAATATATAAATTTGAATTCTAAAATTTGCTTTATATATTTTTGGACAAATTTTTGTTGGCAATTAAAATTCATATATAGTTTGTATTTGAAAATAATATTTTTCATTATAAGTAGATAACAATAGACAGCAGTTCTACATATAAATTAATAACTAGTGATGATGTATTTGATATTTACTAAGTGCCAGAAACTGCTAAGTTTACCTGTATAAATTTGTTAAGTAATCCCACTAAAACTATAAAGTAACTTCTTTTATTATACCTACTCTACAGATAAGGTAACTGCAGTATTTAGAATTTAAAACCGTATCAGATTTTCTTAAATTATAGAGGCCTTAACATCATTTGACTCTAGGCTATGCTAGTGCTTTTATGGTTAGGTTTTTGTTACTTCTGTTGCTGATTTCAGTTTTTTAAAAGATACAATTATTTTGTAAATGCAACAAATACAGAGCCAATAAATACAGAACAAAATATATACATATATATGTACATTCTTTTGTATAGATAATTATATTCTCATGCACTCATGAAAAGCTGAACATCTAATTGCTTTTCCCATGCTGACCCAGAAACCCAGGAAATTCTTTTGTAACTTCTACCAAGATTTTCCTACACATCTTCAGTTTCAGCTTCAATATGTTGACAGGAAGACCTTCTCTGGCCTCACAATGTAGGCTAGTTCTTCTACTGTTCTGCATAATTTGCTATGTTCTTTGTGATGCTTATCACTGTTGTGTTTGCTAGTTTGACAACTGTCTTTCTTAAAACTCTATAAGCTGAAGTCAGGCATGTCTGTTTTTGCCAATGCTTTGTATATAGTAAACATTCAATAAATGTTTACTGGATAAATGAAAGAACAAATATATTTTAACAACAAAATGTCTTTTCTTTAGAATAGTTACCAATTTACAAAAATAAGTGTTCAACATAATTGGATGTTTTAGTGTTACCCATATATTTTCACACATTTAGAATGTATCTTCCAAAATAAATAAATAAATAAAATGTATCTTCCAATATATTTTCAGTGTTATTTTTCTAGTATCTCCAGCATACTTTCAAGAACATTTCAGAGAATAACTAAATATCATACTTATCAGAATTTTTCAGCATATAAGATTAAACCACATTATTCCTTAAAAAAAAAAAAACACTCAAGTTTAGGCAAAACAAATGCCTAAAACTCTTATTTCATTATATCATATCAACCTCTGATATTGTTACAAAATGACAAAAGAGTGGTCAAAATTAAATACATAATTTAATGCCATTTAAGGAGTAACAGTCTGAATGTTTTTTAATTTCTATCCCATTACATCCTGTTAAGCAAAATACTTGGTAAAATGTGTGAATTTTATACATTTGTCTTACTTCTAATATTGCAACCTTGAATATATTGCATCTGTAATAATAATGTAGAGAAAGAAAAACACAAAACATACTAAGTACTTTAAGAAAATAATCAGGCAATTAGGCATTGTGAATTCCTTATATGGTTGCTTTGTAGTCAATCTATCATGAATATTGAAATTGGAATTTCACTTTGATTGCTAGTGAGCTGACAACAACCAAATTAAAATACACAGAAGAGTCAGGGATTACTTGGAATTGAGACATAAAAAGACTTAATTCTTAATAGAGTAGCAACATTAACTGATAATATAGAGAAAATTGTTCAGCAGCAGTGAATCTTTAAAAAGAAAATCATTACAGATTTGCTCTAAGGAACTATAAAAATGTAACATGCAAAATGGGATAGGGTAACACAATAAATTAAATTTCACTCATTTGTGTGTATTAAGATGGTTGTATAAATTTCTCACGAATGGCCTCATTCTACCATTCCTTTATGACATTAAATATATTGGTTATAATGAACAAATAATATAGAATCACTAGATGAGTTTAAAAATGATATGGGACCTAATCTTACTCATGCATTGTTGTCCATTAAAAAAAAAAAAAAAACATTCTTGATATAATTCAAACCCATTCTGGTCAAATTAAAATAATCGTCATTAACTTAAATATTGGGAAAAAAAAAAAAAAACCTCTGGGACACTGATACTGATAAGATTTTAATTTAGTCAGGGAGCTGAAGATAGGAAAAGGAAATGAAAGACATACTTTGGATGATTGATTGTAAAATGAGTTTGTCTTACTGAGTTAGGAGCTGCCAGATAGTGAAAAAAGTTAGGAACTGTGAGAGGAGGTAAAAATAAAAATTATTCTACATATCTAAGAATAAGACATTAAACTTTTGGATGTATTAAAAACAGGTACACCTTTTGAAAACCATATATTTGTTGGTATTATTGTTATTTTGTTTTGTATTTGATAGAAATCACATTTCTTAAGATCTCATTGATTTATTCTGCTTAAGAGAATCTCAAGGAGACAACTAATTACTAATATATCTGTAAATAAAATCTTCAAGTTTTTTTCTGTAGATTAATTCTAGTCAATTTCTGTATTTGAGAAAAATTGCACAATAATTACAAAATAGCTATTCCACCATCTTAATTATATTATTTGAGCTTTCAAAATGTATTTTCAACCAAGTCAACTTAAGTTATTCGTGAATTTTACAATAAATGTAACTCATTACTTGGAACCAAATTGCAAGAAAATATCTTAGAATGAAAGAAAATATTAAAAAGTTTAGCTGGTGCCCTGGTGCAGGCCCATAATCCCAGCAGCACCCAAGGCTGAGGCAAGAGGATGGCAAATTCAAAGCCAGCCTCAGCAACTTAGTGAGGCAATTAGCAACTCAGTGAGACCCTGACACTAAATAAAATACAAAAAAGGGCTGGGGATGTTGCTTAGTGCTGAAGCACTCCTGAGTTCAACTCTCAGTACTAAAAAATAAAAATAAAAAATAAATAAATAAATAAATAAAGTCTTGTGTTCCTACAAGAACTTAGACAGAAAATCAGAGGAGAATCTGGTTTTTCAAGAGCCCAATATGTGTCAAACACTTCTAAATAATATCCTGCTTCTCAAAATAGTCTTTAGACAAATGAAGCACCAAACCATTATAGGATCAATATACAAGGCAGTGGTTTGTGTGTATGTGAGTGTATGTGTGTCTACTTTCCAAGTGATTTTTTTTCCCACTAAACTAATGGTTAAAATGCATTTATTTTTTAACTTAGTGAAGTTCCTTGAATATCCCTTTGCTACTGAATTACTCCTACCATGTGAAGGGTGGGTAATACAAGTATAATCTCATAGCAATCAATTATTCTACAAAGCACATGAAGTATGGAGAACATTCAAGCAAAGCCTCAAATCCTTAAAAGGTCATTAGAAAAGAAAAAATGGAAGAAAATAAATAATTTTTTATTTCAGATAACTGCAAATCAAGAATCTTATAGTCCCCCCCACCTTAGAGGAGGGGTGGCTAATAGTGGGTTCAACCCTCAATAAGAACATTTCAGTTTAGATTCTGGGGCTGGGGGAGTACCTTGGTGATAGAGTGATTGTTTAGCATATATGAGATCATGGGTTCAATCCCCAGCACTATGGGGGGGGGAAGATTTGGAACAATTTTATTTATATAAAATATGAGTTAAAGAAAATATATTGATATGACTTGCTGTTTGTTCTAAAATATTGAATATAGCATTGATTAATTTGTAAGGCATTCTAACCTGATTTTTCCAGCCAATTAACAAGGAATAGTTTCTTAAAGAATTGGTATCAGGGAAGTGAAGGGGCTATGAGATATGTAATTTAATTGAGCTGGTAATTTAGGAATTGAGAAATGAGGCATGGTTGTTATTGTGCACAAGTATTGAAAATTACTTTTCAATTTAGCTTTCTTGTTTCTGTTCTAATTAAAACGATTTGTGTCTTAATAAACATATAAGAATAAAATGGTGACAGAACAAAACATTCTTAGTAGCTATATTTATATAATATAAATAAAGTTTTTGTCTAACTAGTGTGACATAAAATGGATGGAAAGATTTCACTAGGAGGGTAAATTTGGGATGGTTTATGTCATATGTATTCATTTTTGACAATTCTAAAGTATCTAAACAAGATAAGCAAGTTGCCAGAAGGCTCATTGTATCCACCAATGATAGAAATACCTGGTAACAATTTTGGACAGAAAACACAGTGCCTTTGAACAGAAGTTCAAATTCAAAAGTTAAAGAATATATGCTCTGAAATGCAGGCTTCTCTTTGTAATCAAACTGCTTTTCAATTGGGCAGTTCTAAGTACCCTAGTTTTTGCTGAAAGACATAAGGAGTGTATTTATTTAATGATGATTAATCAGTCTCCTAAGCAAACAGGGGATGCTTCTGAATACAATAATGCACTTTGCATTTATTTTCCTTTAACTCATTTTCTAATCTTATGTTGTAGGCTAATGCAGCATTAGAAAATTGAATATAAGAGGGCTGAGGTTGTGGCTCAGTGGTAGAGCGCTGGCCTAGGATGTGTGAGGCACTGGGTTTGATTCTCAACACCATAAATAAATAAATAAATAAATAAATAAAGTCCTTCAACAACTAAAAACATTTTTTTAAAAAAATTAAGTATAAGAAAATGAAAATAAGATAATATTTTATAGTTATATCATCTTCAGTTATATAATTTTTATGATATTTTATGGTTTTGTTCAATTGGAAGGTGAAGAAAGGATGAATATTTGGCATGTTTGGAAAGAAAGGTAAAATCCATTTCATTCTCTGACATAACACAATTGGGTAGTGAGGGAAACTAACAGTTAAATTGTTCTGCATGAAAGTAACAGGTATTTTGTGATTTGCCCTGCTACATACTGGAGGCTGGCAGGAGAAAGGGGAAACAAGGGTTGAAGATCCTAAAGGCCAAAGAGACTAAATACAGAAAAGGATCTCGGATAAGAGAGGGAACTGTGGCACTATATGCACTTACTACTGTGATTAGGACTATGAAGATAATTTAGGACAACAAAAGCTTGCTTACTTAATCTTAAATTATTCTGGATTGTGCAGTAATCCTCCTGGTTGCCCTTTATATTATGGTTTTTGTGAGAATGAAGGAAAATGATACAAATAAGGAGCACAGTAACATTGAGAGAGGCCAGTAACTCTCAGGCTCTCACAAGAGGGATGATTCTGCCCAAAGGAATTAGAGCCAGAAGTAGAGTAGAAAACAAAACAAAACAAAGCAACAAAACCCACTAAGCCAGTGAGCACTGAGTGATATATGTTATCAACTATACAAACATAATGAAATGTGAAAGTCTTCAATTACATTTATATCATATCTTCTGATATAAAACAATGACAAATCTAAAGTAGAAAATACTCAAATCATGTACCTGATATATATAGATTCATTTAAAATCACATTAATTATGATAGGTTGACAAATATGTTTATGCTTCAAATGTAATACTCTAAGCTTTACAAATGAAAAATATGGACAAAATCTCTGTTCTATTGTCTCAAATTATAATTTTTATGTTACTCAATAATATAATCAATAAAACCATGCTATATTGTACATTTCAAAGCAAATAGAATTCTCTACAATAAAGTAAGGTTAGTTAATTGAGTTCCTCACTCATGGAACAGCAATATTTGATAAAAATTTGATAATAAATAAATAATATGCATTTTAAGCTTTCTAAAATTATTATGGCAACAGAAACCATGTCAAACAATGAGCAAAGGATATGGTTTTGGGGGCTGGGAATATAGCTCAGTTGGTAGAGTGCTTGCCTCGCATGTACTAGGCCCTGGGTTTGATCCCCAGCACCACACACACACACACACACACACACACACACACTCTGTATGGTTTTAAGACAAAATGAACCATGCTGAATTATTCCAATAAAAACTCTTTTAAAATATATAAGTCATTCTTATTGCATACATTGTGTCCTGTAAAATTTCTATCTTGAAATTTATATATTTTGTTAATTTAATTTTATTTTCTTTAGTGCTATGAACTCAAGGGTGCTTAACCACTGAGAAACTTCCCCAGCCTTTTTTATTTTTCATTTTGAGACAGGGTCTTTCTAAGTTGCTTAGGGCCTCACTAATTGCTGAGGATGGCCTTGAACTCACAATCCTCCTGCTTCAGCCTCCCAATTTGCAGGGATTACAGGTGTGTGCCACCATGCACAAATCTATCTTTAAATATTAACCCCCAGTAACTCAAGAATGTGACCATGGACAAAGGCCCTTAAAGAGCTAATTAAGATAAAATAGGTCACAAGAGTAAAACTCTTTAATTCAATATTTATGACTGGCATCTTTAGAAAAAGAGGAGATTAAGATACAGACATGCATAGAGAGATCATGTGAAGATGGACATAGAACACAGCTATCTACAAGTTAAAGATAAAGGCCAGAAGAGATGATCTTTTTGACACTTTGATCTCAGAGTTCTAGTTGTAGGAAAATAAATTTCTAGTTTTTGGGTCTCCTAATCTGTAGTACTTTGTTATGGTATCCCTAGCAAACTAATACAGTCATAGTAAGGTGGTGAAGTTTATAGTAAGGTAGGACGATTCCATAAAATGCATAATACTTTATGCCAGTTCAAAAAAAATCTGTTTTTTTTTTTCTTTCTATGCAAATGTTAACACTAGCATTGATGGATTAAATCAATGAAGGACTTCTTGAGTAAGGAAAGGGTCAAGTTATATTTGTAAAATCTAATCATCAGGTCATAATAAAGATATTCTGCACTATTTATATTCTTATCAAATGTATTCAATGCTTTAGGAAGCTTTCTTTATTTGTTTAATTTTTTTAAAAAAGAGGTTAGGTGATGAGGGTATTGTATTATTGAATACAATTGGGGATTTTGTACATTATTCTGTCTTGATTTTTGGACAGTGATCTAATAATGGAGCAGAAACATCATTCTTTTAATTTTAAAATATCATAGTATTGCATGATAATGATTGATGAATATTAATTTTCCTAGGAGGAAACAAAGCCAACTTTTCAATCTTTAATACACACATATAATCTAATCATTTTTTGGAACATATATGACAGTGTGCATTAGTGTCTTAGGCTGCAATATAGTATCAATTTGAATGCATTTTCACCAACTTTGCCTCTAGAAACCTAGCAAAGCAAAATTTATTGGCACTTCAAAATATAGAAAAACAAAACTCATCAAGCTAAAGGTCACATTTTCATCTGAGCACTGTGTATTTATGTAAACTAAAAAAAGGTCGATCTTGCATACTTCAGTAGTAAAAATACAACATTAAACAAATAGAAAATTAACTTGAAAATAGCCTGAAAGGTTAAAAGGAGGCAAAGAGTCTGTAGCATGTAAGGCACAACAATTGACTAATACAATAAAATTATACATTGATTTGTTAAAGGAAAAGAATACCAACTATCCTTTTATATAATCTTTTCTTTAAAAGGTAAAAAAAAATATATATATATATATATATATTTTCAGAGACCTTTCAAATGTAATTTTGATAGAGTGTCCAGGTTCAGCTTCAATAACCCACTCACAATTCAAAGAGTCTTTATAGTATCCTGGCCATCCCGGTGAGAGAATCACTCCACTTGGAGCTGAAAAATGGCCACCACATGGAGCTGAAAAACAAAATCAGAGAGCAGGAATAAAACTTTTATAATTAGTTGTAGAAATAATTTTTAATACCAACTCTAATTTTTGAATGAATTTCTACATATACCTATTAAATGCTAATTAGTACAATTTTGAAACTAAAGGTGAACTAATCAATTTGTTATTAAATGATTGTTTTCTGTTAAAAGATAATCTATGTAAAATATATGGCATAGTTATATTTCTTCGCATATGAAGTAGTAAAGTGATCATCACCACGTGCAAAGTAGATCTTTATTTTATTTTTGGTGCTGGAAGTCAAACCCAGGGCCCTACACATGCTATGCAAGTGCTCTGCCTCTGAGCTACACATGTAGTCTCTTCAATCAATATCTTTTTGTATCTCCATTGTGTTCTTTATCTTTAAAGATTCATAAAACATAAATTGTTGACTTTAGTTTTTTTCTCTTTCATTAACTGATTTATGTAATCAAACACCCGTTAATTCAAACTGTCTGCTAAGACACGGAGCTTCCATTTTCCATTATCACTACTAAAATTTAGGCCATCATCAATTCAATGCTTCTCCTTATTTCTCATTTATTAATTCATCTACTCCTTCAGTCCAGTTGACAGAAAAATACCATTCAAAGTATTGATCCATCATACTATTTCCTAGATATGTATTCCCCTTCTTAGACATATATTCCAGTTCCCTTTTCTTTTTAACAACCAATTCAAATCCTTTGCTTATCTTTTCACATACTTTACCCTTCGATTTTCCCTAAATTCAAACACAATTGAAACCACAATGATAGTATTGTAGCTCCAGTAAGTGCTGCTTTAAATCACTTAGTAGGAACACTATATTGTGGAGATGAATAAACAATTTGCAAAAAGAAAAACAAGTTGCCAAAGTTCACAAAGCTTTACAGTCTCAAAAGCACTTTCTAGGTCAACTTTTGCAAAACAGGATCTCAAAGCTCCATCTATTTCATTATTTCCTCTATCAGTAAATGAAGCCACCATTCATTGAGTGGCATAAACCAAAAAGCTAAGTATTCATTTTTCATATTTCTATTATGCTTATCATTTATTTTCAAATCCAATTAATCTCCAAGTTCACTCATTTTTCTATCTCTTTAGTTGCCATCTTAAATTATACTGGAATATAAAAATGCCTTCTTAACTGGTCTCTGAATCCTCACTAACTATTGACCATGCTCTAGCCAGAGTGACTTCTTATTGTTTAACCTCAAAATAACCATGCCCTTTTATGACTTCTTTCCAAGTTGACCAATAAAGTTCTCTCTGCCTGCTCTACCTGTTGCCTATTCTTTAGTATAGACTATGAATTTCTCCCCAGCTACATTAGCTTGCTCCCATTTGCACCCCAGCTACATTAGCTTGCTCTACTTTCAAAAAGTACACAAAGAGAAATATGGAAAGATTGTTAGAAATGTTGAGAATTACTCAGAAATAAAATGTATCAAATGTATATTATGTCAACTTTTCAACACTTTAGAGACTATACCAAATGATTTTCCACTTCCCATTTTATGTTTTTATTTTCTTTACATATATCCATTTTTCAAATAACTTGATCTAGGGGCTATGGGTGTGGCTCAGTGGTTCTATCTTCAGCACCACATAAAAAGATAAATAAAATAAAGGTATTGTGTTCATCTGCAACTAGAAAAAGATTAAAAACAAACAAACAACTTCATCTAAGCCAAATAAAATAGTAAATATTTATAAATTGGCCTAATAATTAAGCATTACTAGAAAATGTTCCTTTAAGTATAATATTTTCTATGTGAAATTGCCAAAAGTTATAATTTGTATAAGATAGTGCATTCATAAAAGCTGTTTTTCTTAGTAGAATTTAATTTTATTTCCTAAAAAGCTTTCAAAGGAGTCCATTTTTAGAAAATATTTTCAATAATTATAAATGGACACAATACCTTTATTTTATTTGTTTATTTTTTATGTGGTTCTGAGAATCAAACTCAATCCCTCAAACGTGCAAGGCATGCACTCTACCACTGAGCAAAAACCCCAGCCTGAGGAGTCCATTTCTTAAGGATTATTTATTCTTCCTCTTTATGGTAACTCATAATCATGTTTTCTGTAGGATTTCCATGTATTTCAAAATTAAATTATATGAATAATAGCCAATATATTATATTTTAAAAGACAGAGCTAAACATTTTAGTAAGAGAAGACCCCAAAAGTAATAAAGCATTTCTGACAGAAATCTTTTTTATGTAATCAATTCATATTGTTCTAGAAAAGTATTTGTGCATTAAGTCTAATCATCATTAAATGAGGTAATTAATCATAAGATTAACAATTGAGTAATGGATCATAAAGGATTAAAAGTAAAGTATTGAGAGGCATTTTGATTGACCCCTTAGTCCAAAGTGTGAGGTAGACAGGATTAGAAGGGTTCTTTAAAATGAAGGAATAAATAAAATTATAGCAACTATTTTCTGAAAGGACTTTTCTAAATGATGAACCTGCTCAACAGTGGATCCTACTTAACTTATGGCATTTTCTGAAGTAGTTTCTTTCTGTGACATATGAGGTTGGAACTCTCTGAAAGTATAATCCCAAAAGATGGAAGCAGACTCCCCAGAAAGTAAGATGCCTAAGGGAGACACACTTATATAGGTCAGTCAGAAAAAGCCTGCTGATCCAAGGAAGTATCAGGCACATGATGGGAAATGCTGTATTTGGAGAAGCTATAGTGGAGCAAGAGCAGGAAAGCCTGGAGGTGACAAAGTGTAGGGGAAAAAAAGGAGGGACCAACTGGAGAGAAAACACGAAACAGCTGCAGAAACCTGTCCAAAGTGGAAGGCAGTATACTATATAGAAAAATTGAAATGAAGTTTGAAACAAAGGACTAATAATACTACACATTTTACTTGGAAAGAGGCACCAACTGCAATATGAATAGTAATACAAACAGAAAGACTAAGTTTATTGCCCAAACCTTACAATACAAAATATGCACATGTTCCTTAAATCATTTAATACTTTTTCTTTAATAGATTCACTTTCATTTTGTCTTACATTATATAGCTTGATTCTCCCTAAGTAAAATCATACATAAAATCATAAATTTTATGTAGTAGCATTATTTTTTTCCCAGAATAATTGAAAATAAATAGTAACTATTGAAATTTAAGAAATGTTTATACATATCTAAAATAAGCTCCTATTCTCCAGGTGTAAAAAAAAAAGGTGCAACACTTTAAGAACGATTAATCTGAAAGAAAATAACAGGGCTGTGGTTCTGTGGTAGTGCATGCCTGAAATCCCAGAGGCTCTGGAGGCTGAGGCAGGAGAATTTCGAGTACAAAGTCAGCCTCAGCAACAGTGACGCACTAAGCAACTCAGTGAGACCTTGTCTCTAAAATACAACATAGGGCTGGGGATGTGGCTCAGTGGTTGAGTGCCCCGAGTTCAATCCCTGCTACCAAAAAGAAAAAAGAAAATAACAGGGATGAGAATGTGACTCAGTGGTAAAGCATTAACCTAGAATATCTGAGGCTCTGGGTTCAATACCTAGTGACTAACAGACAGACATTGCTAATGGTACACACACACACACATACACTTAGTGATCTGGGAGTTATCCCATTAAAAAGTTACACACACACACAATAAATATCTCTGGCTGAAAAAAAAAATTTGGAATGTATAGAAAGCGGGAGACCAAGACCATATTGAGATATTTTACAAATCCCATTTCATTGGTTCATTCATTTATTCAATTGTATTTCAGTTAATGGAAATTATTTTGAATCAAATATATGCCCATGTGGCATTGATACTAATTAACACTTATTGAAAAATTCTTATGTGTCAGGTGTTATGCTAAGACATCCTTGAATTATTTTATAAAATGTTCCAAATAATTCGACCAGGTAGATTTATTGTTATAGATAAGAACAATGAAGTGCAAAACATTTAAACAATTTGCATATGAGCAATCAAGGGTTTGAAAAGAGGCAGTTTGATTTTAAAACCCTGTTTCCAATAAAATACTTGTTTTCTTTCCTCAGAATACCCCTAGTGCAAAACACAGAAAAAAAAGTAAAATGTCATGAATTGTATCAAAGAAGCAAAAACAAAATGTAAAATGTCATAAATTCTATAATACAGATACATATGTTTATGTTAGAGGACATGAATAAAATCTTCATAGTAGGTATTCTGTTTTCAGTCTTCAAGGATATGACAGAGTTCACGAGGAGGAAGATAAGTATATTGTAAATGGATGCAATAGCTTGTGGAAAAGCATAAAGACTTGTCAGCACAATGCACAATGCTTTTGAGTAATACTGACATGTTTTTGTAGAATCAAAAAGTAATGGGAAACCATGGAAGATGATTAGAAAAGGCTCTGGTATGTTATAGTATAGAAAATGAACCAAGCAATTTAAAACAAAGGATTCATATACATTTATAAACAAAGGATACAATTTTCATTTAATGGAACTTGCAAGTAAAATGGATTAGAGACAGTGCAATGGGAGTTTGTAATATCAGTTAGGAGCGTGTTTGAATTTTCTAGGAAAAAGTATAATTGTGAAATAAAGCTTTTACAAGGAGAAGCTGAATATGAGCTATCTGAGGGGTAGAGTCACAAGCATTTACTGATGAGAGGCAAAGAGTTAAAAGAAAGAAGCCTAAACTGGTCCTTGGGCCCTTGGCATATACCTGCCATTGCTAATTCAGCAAAATGAAGAATGCAAAACATGGAGGAGTTTTACATAGGAAGCCAAAGGTATTCAATGCTGAGATCCAAGGGTCTGCAAAATATCAAATAAAAATTATGAAATAGAATATGGAGCCCTTGGCTATTTTTGGAATCATTTTCAAAAGAAATTTCAATATGGGTAGAAGGTAAAGATGAACATTTAGAGGAAGAAATCAAAGTATACTTGAATATGCAATCTTTGGGGGAGGGAAATGTTTTCATTTAGAATTAAATATGAATTGGCCAACAGCCAAGATA